GGCCAGCCCAGATTCAAGGGGTGGTGTCACAGACTCCACCCTTGGATGGGAGCCACATTACTAGGAGGCTGTGCATGGGGCTGGGGAGACTAGATGGCGTATTTTCCCATCTGCTGTGTTCCACTCCTGCTCTCCCTCCCAGTGCTGGGAGAAGCACTGTGGAGGCTGGGGGTCTGGGGGTCTAAAAGTCCCAGATCAATCGTGAAGTTGTTCTTGAAACCTTCCAGCTCTACACACCCCTGCACTCATTTATTCATTTGATTCTTTCTGGGGCCCACTCTGTGCCAGGGCTGCACAGAATCAGACAGGAGGCTGTGTGAGAAGGAGGACTCAAGTCACAGCGACCTGGACTCCAGTTTTCTTGCCACCACTGACATGCTAGCTGGCCTTGGGCATGTTCTCAGGTCTCTCTGAGCCTTAGTTTCCTATTCTGTAAAGTGGGAATACCACCCAGTGGGGCTGTTGAGAGGAGTCAATGAGACGAAGCTTCCAGTAGCATGTCTCACATGTTGGAGATGACTCGCTGACCCCTTCTCTCGAGTCTTGGGTTGGGAGCCCCCAAACCTACATTCCACAGGGGCAGAGATACATTCAGGACTCATTCATCATCCTGCCTATAGGGCTGGGTGCACAGTAGGTGCTCAGACAACATTTTGACTGATGGACTCCCACTGCCCCTCCACTGCCCCCTCACAGCCTGGGTGTAGTTGTCTGTTTGTTTCTGGCTTCTCTGTTTGAACAAAAGCTTCTTGTGGGCAGAAGCCAGGTCTGGTTCATGATCCTGGCCCTAGGATCTGGCACTTAGAAGGGACTCAACAAATGTGAGTTTCATTCTCTCCTGGTAAAATGAACGTCTCTGGCCCCATTGAGAATGTTCAGCAGATCTTGGCGACTCAGAGCATGTTTCTATTCCTGCAGGGGTGGTGGTGGGCGGGGGCTGGTAATTATAACCTGGCCTCGGCTCCCGCAGCCTTGTCTTCACCCATTGTCCCCAGTTCCAGCTGTTGTCCCCGCCACCCCCGCTGTCCCCTGCAAATGCTGCAGAAGGGGCCCCGGAGCCCGTGTGATGCCTCATTAGCCCGCAAATGCCATCCCTGTCGCCCCTGTGGGGGGCTTGCTGGCAGGCCTGGCCTTTAAAACACACAAGTTAATTCCTCCTCTGGCACGGGGGCCTCACGGCGCCCCGCCTCCTCCCTTCCCTCACACCTTCCTCTCAGGCCCCGTTCCGGCTCTGCTCCCTGCTATCTGCACAGCGAGAACAGACTGTACCTCGCAGCAGCTGCTAAATATAGACCCGCATCAGTGGAATATTCCTGGCTGGGGAATGGAGCTGGGCTGGGAATGGCACCAGGGCGGCTCTTGCTGTGGGGCTGTGGGCAAGGGGAGGAAAAATCGGGCTCTTCCTGGGACCTGCCAGATAGGACCCTTCTGGGCTGAGAAGCTGAGGGACCCTTGAGCCAGGGCCCTGTCTGAATGCCTTCACCCGCCCTGCCTGGTGTTCACTTCCTGGCCTCTTGGGAACGGCTCCTACTCCCCCAAGCTCTATGACCTCCCGAGTGTCACCCTCTCCCTGACCCTGTGCAGCGGGGTTGTTCCTTCTTAGAAAGTGGCTGTCCTCCTCACTCCCCCTGGAGTCTCAGCTGTCGTCTCCCCACCCTGCCACCTTCCAAGACTCCATCCTGGCCCTTCCCTTATTCCCCCCACTGAAGGCATATGAACCCTAAGGTCTCTACTTCCTTAGGCTACATGAATGAAGGCTTCCTCCTCCTCACCCGCTAGTACCAGGTGTTGGGCTGAGCACTTTACACACTCGCTGTTTCCCCAGCCTACAGTGCTCTTACCCAGAAATCCACGTGGCTCACGCCCTCACTTCAGTCTCTGCCCAAGGTCACCTCCCTGGAAAGGCCTGTCCTGATTTCTTTTTCATTTTTGTAGAGATAGGATCTTGCTATGTTGCCCAGGCTGGTCTCAAACTCCTGGTCTCAAGCAGCCTTCCTGCCTCAGCCTCCCAAAACCCTCATTTCTTAATCTATGTCCTGACTGTGGCTTAGACATCTTCTTCCTTGCACTCGTTACTTCTTGACATGATGTTATGTGTTTCTATCTCACTTTCCATATTCCTTACTTCAAAAAAGCTCCATGAGAGTAGAACCTTAGATTGGCTCACTGCTGCATTCCTAGTCAGAGCAGGCACATAGATAGCTCTCAATGCATAGTTGTTGAATGAATGAATGAATTCTCCCGTTGAATCCTTATAACAATCATGTGAGCTAGGTATAATTATTCCTCTTGTGAACATGGCGAAATTGATGCTTAAAGAGCCTCAACCATTCTTGGAGTCCACACTCATACTTCAGAGGGCCTGCCAGCCACTCTAGATGTTTCTTCCCCCTTTTCTCTAATCTTAAAACCATATGGCAAGAGTGGGATGACTGAGTTATGCACCAGATCCTGGGCACATTCACTAATTGCTCTGCTCCTCATTTTATTATTTCATCGTCTTTCTTTTCTGTTGGTGGCACACCTTGCCTAGATGTATAAGCACAACTAAGTTGAGAGAAACTTCGATCCCTCTCTCAACCCAGTCCTGTAGATTCTTCTAGGTCCCCAAGGCTTGTCCTTTGCAGGCTCTCACTGTTCCCCCCATTCTCTCAGCACCTCAGCTCACCCTCACTACCAACCCATCATCATCTCTGGTCTCCTAACAAGGCGGGCAGGTTAAGGAGTCTGAGTGGGTGTTGAGAAAGGGCACGGGCTTTTGGCTTTTGTCCTTTGGGACTCTATGCTGGGTATCCCAGGCTCTGAGGCCTCCCTGACTCCAATTCCTGCTCTGAGCCAAGCTCTACAGCATCAGCCCGAGGGATCTTGTTAAAACAAAAACCTGAGTGTGTCACTTCCTTGCTTGGGAGTCATCAAGGAACCTGCAGTGTTGGGAGGCGGAGGGGAAACAGGCACTCTCAGACGTGGCTCACAGGAGTGTCATCTGGTACATTTTGGTATTATCTGTAGAGATTCCAAATGCATGTGCTCTTTGACCCAGCTTTTCCACTTCCCAAAAATTATCCTGCAGATACACTCACACAAGCACAAAATGATGTATGTATGAAGTTATTCACTGTAGCATTGTTCGTTGTAGCAAAAGATTGGAAACAGCGTAAGTGTCCATCAATAGGGGACTCGCAAAATAAATTTTAGTGTATCCATAACACCCATTAAATAAAAGAATGAGGTGCTCTTTATGCACTGATACAGAATAATCTTCAAGATGTATTGTTAAACGAGAAAGGCAAGCCATGTGTATAGTGTGTGTTTATAGCTACCATTCGTGTGAAAAAAATAAGACAAATACATGTACCTTATTTTCTTGTACATGTATAGAATAGTTCTGGAAAGATTCACAAGAAAATTACATTTGTTGCCTTGGGGACACAGACTGGGTGGCTGGGGGACTGGAAGGGTGAATAATTGCCACTAAGTGCCTGTTTGGACTTTTTCGAATTTTGAACCTTGAAATGTATGATCTATTAAAAATGACTTAATATTTTCGAGTGAACGACCAAGATCTCATAGGATATATATGCCAAGTGGCTACCTTTGGGGCTGCAATTACTGGGATTGGGACTGGGAAGCCCTTTCTTTTTACCTTTTAGCATTTCCTGAACGTTTGGACATTTTCTAAAATGTATTACATTTCCAGGAAGGAAAAAATAATAATGAAGATATTATGTGTAAGAGACTGCAATTATAACTGTGCTCATAGACTGGAATCTTCCCTTTTCACCCCCAGACAAAACAGAACACACAACCGAAACCCTAAAACCCAAGTCCATTAGCCCCCACCCTTTGCCCTTAGAATGCAATCCAAGCTCTTTCACCTGGCTTGCACCGGACACAGCCAGGCCCCCACCAGCCTCTGTGCACCCCCTCAGTATGCCTGATCGCCCAAACCTGAGTCCCTTACAATCCCCTTATGCCTCAGGCTGTTTCCTCCTCCCAGCTTTCACCTGAGCTGTGCCCTCTGCCTGGAACACCTTTTCCTGAAATCTCTGTCTGGCGACACCTTCTTACCCATTGGAGATTGCTGCTGCTGGCTCCAAGAAGCCTTGAGCCCTCACTGCCCACGCATATGCCTGTCCCCCTGTCCCACAGGGCTGTAAGCCCCATGATGGCACTTGACAGGTCTGTAGCGTCTGATGTTTCATCTCCCACCTTCACCCCTGCCCGGCCTCTCCTATCCCAGGAGCAGTGGGTGCACTGGTTGGCATTGGCAGCTACTTCCAGCTGTGTGACCTTGAGTGAGTCATTTCACCTTTCTGGACCTCAGCCTCCTCATTTTGTCCTCCTGGCACTCCCTGAAGGCTCCTCAGAAATGAGTCAAGTTCTAATCTCACAGTGAATGAAGTGGCGGATGACGGTGGGGAGGGAGGCGCACCATTGTTTGGTGGTGGTGGTGAGGGAACAGGCAATAAAGTAGCCACACTTCTTTGGCGATCTCTAAGCATCTGTCTTTCCATCCGACCCTTAACAACTGCCATGTGAACAGAGCTTTCAAAACTTCTGAGAAGGAGCCCGTTGCCAGGCGCTCTTCCTCCCCCAACCTCCACTTGTGGCCTCTGCAGAGCTGCGGCCACACCTGCTCCAATTTAGCTCCAAGGACAAGTGGGACCGCTTAGTTCAGACTTCTGAGGTCCTTTCTGGGTGCCTGCGGCGGAGACTCTCTGCCTTCTCGTTTCTCCGCCAGTTTTGCACGAACCCCACCCCATTTCTTTTCTGTCCCTCAATTCTTCTTTCTTCCTGCCTGGCCACCCTTCCCAATCTGTGACCCTGGAGTCTCCTGTGGAGGACATCTCCTCAGAAGATGCCTCTGTGGTCTCTGTTGGGTCAAGAGGCAGAGAAAGATGGCTGGGGTGGTCCTTGGCCCGCCCCTTTGGTCCAGCCAAGGCCCTGCTCAGGCCCCGCCCACTACGGCCCCACCCCCTTGACTCAGCCTTGCCCCTCACCGGTCTTGGGGTCCACCGTGAAGTGGTGCTCGCCGTCCAGCACGCTGTACACCAGTCGGGCGCTGCTGCCATATGTGGGGTCATCCGCATCTGAGGCCATCACCTGCATCACCGACGTGCCTGGGCCCAGGGGACCAAGCGAGACAGGGGTCATCTGGGGCTCCTGTGCTCATCCCCCCACCTCTCCCCACTCCAGGGAAACTGGGAGAGAAGATGCTCTGGAGACCTGCTGGAGGTCCCCATGCCCACTCTGTGTCTAACCACTTCCTGATCCAGGGCCTTCCTAGTGGCACAGACGTGACCACGGCATCAGATCTGGATTCAACTCTCCCTTGGGTGGTTCCCAGCTATAGGACTCTGGCAAGGAAAGGCAACCCCTGTGAATTTCAGTTTCCTCTTCAGCAAAATGAGGGCAATGCTAGTGCTGGGGTCAGCAGCATGGGAATGAATTCTAAACTCCCAACACAGACCAATTTCTCGACAACAACAACTGAACTGTTATTACCCATAACAGTCATCACAGTGAGAGGGTCAGGACTGGAAACCTGGACCTGAGTCCCAAACCAGGGGTCATCCTAACTTATTGCAGCCCCTCCTGGTTCTGCCCCCTCTCCCTGCCACCATGACAGCAGGAGACAGCCCAGAGGGACAACCAGTCCACTGGGTCTCTTGGTCCCTGAGCAGGAAAATGGCAGCACCAGTTCTCCCTGTGGAAAGTAGTTGGCTGTGGGCCCTGGTGCCCTCCTTCCCCTCCCCCTAGGTGCCCAGACAGCCCACTCCCAGACACATACACTTCTCCTCATGCTCTGCACGTAGGCTACTGGGGAGAGTATAAATTGGATAAAAGTCCATCAAACAGCAGCAATTAAGTTATTGATTTTCGACGCTGCCTCATTAAACTGGGAGCTTCTTTCGGTCTGTCCCAGAGATGGCTCTAATTTGACATCATGTTCAATTTGACGAAAGCAGGGCTTGAGACGTGAGGCTGGACCAGCTGGGAGCTGGTGAGGATGGGGGAGGGCCAGAAGGAGGGGCCAGCAAGACCACTCGGTGCTTCTGAACCTTTCCAGAAAGAAGAGCATGAGGTAGAAAGCCTAAGAGAAAGTCTTGCGGGCTCAGGAAATGCCCCAAAGCAGAGGAGACTGAGACCCCCACCTCAGGGAGATGCCCTCTGCTGGGTGCTGTGCTGGTGGGGCTGGGTGGGGGCTGCCTGGGTTGGGTTGGTCCCTCGGGGCCAGCAGGGCGGCAGGCTGAGAGGCAAGACCAGTTCACTGCCTGGCTAATGAGGGGGACTCTGGAAGTGCTACTGCAGCAATTCTGCTAAGCCCAGCCCGCCGCCCGCCTCTCCCGCCTCCAGCCTGGGGCCCTCGATCATTCCAGACAGACACATGTATTTATTTTTCACTCTTTTGCATTTCTCATTTCTCTCTCCAGGTCCCCCTCCCAGTCGGAGCCTCCTAACCCGTCCCTGCAATGCGCCTCTCTCGGCTGCTCCAGCTCCATGTCAACCACATCAGAGTAGCTCAGAAGCTGGGGAAGGTGATGGGAAAGCCCCTTCTCTCTTGAGGCTGGAGCCCGGGGGTCTCCTGCTTAGGGCCAAGGACATGGCTCCAGGTGCCTTCTGATGATATGGAGAGAAGGAAAGGCACAACTCTGACTGAACATGCACTGCACACCAGACTTTACCAGCCGCTTAAATCCATCATCTCTAATCCTCACACGTCTCAGACTTAGAGTGGCCCAATATCACAGGTGAGGAAACAGGCTGGACAGGAAAAACGACCTCACTGCGGGTAGAGTGAGAAAGTGGTGAGATTTGAACCCAGGACTCTGTGATGCCAAAGCCCTTCTAGGAAACAATGTCAGCATAGGCGCAGTGAGGGGACAGTCGCCTGGTGCACTGAGTCACAGTTAGTGATGGCACTGCCACTTGTTAGAAGTTTGACCTCAGACATGTCATGAACCCCTGTGTGCCTCAGTGTCCCTATCTGTGCAATGAGAGTGAGAGTGTTACAAATCCCCTGAGATCATTTTGAGACTTCAAATCGATTTCCATGTTCAGAACCGCGGACAGCGCCAACCCATGCCAAGAATCAAAGTGCAGGTGGTGCTTGTTGTCTCACATGCCAGTATACAATGGCACGGTTATGCCTCCCTCCCAGAGCCATTGAGATGAGAGAAGATGCACGAAGCATCAGGCTCCTGGTGGGTGCTCAATAAGCAGCGGCTGCTGTAACTGTTATGAAAGAGGGTCTCCCTGCCAATCCACCTTGCAAGTTCCCCCGACCCCTGCGCAAGGCACAATGCCGGGCTGAGTGACTCCCCAGAGCCATGGCTTAGCGTGTGCTCTCTCCCTGGCTGCATCCCAGGGACTCCCAAGGGGATGATGGAATCATTTCCCCAATCCAGGATTCTTTATTGCAACCATTACAGTTAATGCCGACACGTGGGAATGGTAAAGGGTCACTGATTCACCACTGGTTCCCCGGGCCTCAAGGGAATGGCCTCCTCAGGCAGATACCCCCTCCCACCTTCTTCACAAGTCAGCAGCTCCCCAGAATTGGCAGACAAAGGGTGCTGGGCTTGCAGCTGCCGTGAGACAACTTCAGGGTCGTCCCCAATAGGCGCAGCAGTTTATATTTTACAAAGCACGATTGTGTCCACTTCCTCCTTCAGAATTCACACCAACTCTGGGGTATAGAGAGTGTGCTGGGAAATGTGTGACTATCAGCTCCAGGGGGTGGGGGAAGAGGAAGGATGTCCTGTTTTGCTGTGTTTGCTGATTCCCATGGTGTAAATACTCCCCCCCCATAGCCCAAGCTACCGACATGTTATCGACTGGCCCATAAAGCTCCTGAAAATCAATATGTGGTTCCTGTAGGCTGGTACAAGCCACCCCAAGCCCACCCCTGCATGGTTCCCATTTTGCAGCTGAGGAGACTGCTATGCATAGTGATGGGTGCAAATGGGAGTTGAAACTTGTTATTGATTATGTATCATTATCCAACAACAATGATCATGAGAGTTTCCATTTATTGAATACTTTGTGCTAGATTCTATGGCATAAGCCCTTTTTGTATATTATTTCATGCAGCTTACGAAATAAAGCCTTGAGATAAGCTCTATTAAGATCTCCATTTTACAGATGAGGACATGGAGGCTGAGTGAAGTTAAGTAACGAGGCTCTTTGTACCTCAGTTTCCTCATTTGTGAAAAGGGGTAACAGCATTACCAAACTCATGGAAACACAAATAGGTTTCCATGTTCAGCACCAAGGACAGTGTCTAGCCGAGTTCCCCCGGCAAGAGCTCTCCTGGAGGGGATTCAAACCCAGGTGGATCTGATGTCAAAACCCATATGTATCCTTCCTTCTAGGTAGGAGGGCTGGGGGGCAACTGGAGTAGAAGGCAGGAGAGGGAGAGGAAGGACTTAGAGACAGGAGCGGAAGGGCAAGGAGCTGGGTTCAGATTCTCTCGCCCCTGCAGCTGGTTCAAGCCAGACTTCTTCAAGCACAGCTCGGGGACTGGCTGGCATGAGTGGCTCGCTGTCCATGGTGCTGGCCCCCAGCCCTTGGGTTAAGAGCCTAGGTCCAGGCTGGAACGGGAAGGGTTGCCCAACTGATTCTTAGATAATAGGATCTTGGGTCTCAGGGATCCAAGTGGAATGTTAGATATGAAAAGGCTGGTCTTTGCAGAGCACAGAAACTTGGTGGCACATTAAAATCTCCTGGGAGCTTTAAATAAAACTGATGCTGAGCCTTTTCCCTAACCAATTAAATAGGACTCTTGGGGTCCAGAGTGATTCAAAGGCACCTGCTTGTCTAAGAACTGATGGCCTAGGCCTAACCCCTGATTGAACGAATGGGGAAACTGAGGCACAGAGGGGCTCGGTGACTTTCCCAGGATCACATCATTAGTAAGTAGTAGGGAAAAATTCAACCCAGCTCTGTCTAGCCAGCATGCTGCCCTCTCAAACTAACTGAACCTGTATATTAAGACTGACACCCAGAAGGAGCATGACCCATACCACCAAGCCATTAGAGCTCTTCCCAGCTGAAGATGCCCCTCACATCTCCATGGAAACTGGGTGGGCTTTGGCATCATAGAGCCCTGGGCTCTGATCCTGCACTTCTTCATTCTATGTCTCCAGTTAGACTTTTTTCCCTGTCTGGCCTGTTTCCTCACCTGTAATATTGGGCCACTCTGAGTCTCTTAGATGTGTGAGGATTAGAGACGATGGATTTAGTGGCTGGTGAAGCCAGGTGTGTAGTGGGTGACCAGCAGGACTTCATTCTTTTCCCTTCTCTCTGTATCATCAGGAGGCACCTGGAGTCAAGTCCTTGGCCCTGAGAAGGAGACCCTGGGCACCGGCATGAGGAGGGAGGGGGCTTGCCGACTCCTAAACTCTGGTTTATTGAGTAGCTCTGGCATGAGTTTTCATGGAATCAGAACTGGAGCCCATGTCCTGGCTCCCAGGCCAGAATTCTTTCCTTTAACCCTTAATTCTTTCCCTTAACCCTTGCTATCTGTGGGGTGTAGTTGGGACTTCAAGCCCCAGCTGGTTCCAGGAGGGTCTGGTCCGGCATGGAGTGGAGCTCAGGGATTGCTGACAGAAACTCTCATTCTAGCCCCATCCATGACTTTGTGTGGCTGTGGAAAAACTATCCGATCTGGCCAGGCCTCAGTTCCCCTCTGTGAAATGGAGCTAATGCTTCATCACTCCTGCTCCCCTGGGCGTGGGAGACCCCCTTAAGGAGAGAGGAAGAGATGAAGCACTTTGGAAAAGAACCAAGTTCTCAGCCGAGGTGACCGAGTGTCATTATTATTAAGATGTTTGTAATTATTCTCATCCTGCCTCTTCCCCACCTCCCTGTGCCACCCCACTGGGCCTGGGGAAACCCTGGGCTCACATTTAGCTTCTCAAACATTTATAAAAAATGAGTCCCACCCCCTGCTGCTGTCAGCACTGCGCGGAATGCTTTCTATTAAAAATTAAAAACCACTTGTCGAGTCCCTGGGAACGCTCAGATTACACAGGAAACAAGCCCCTTCTCAACACCTCCCTCCCCTGTGCTCCTCCCAACTCCCTCTTCGATCATCACTTATAATGCGAGCTGGCTA